ACCTCACCAGTCAGAACCAAGAATATTACATTATAATATTTTTAGTACTTATGTCATATAATAAGCTTAATAGATAATTTATTGTATTTTAATTATAATTGATAAATAATTAAATTTTTATTTATATAGATCATATAGATATAATTATTTTAATTTACATATAAAATATGAATGTCAAATTATATATTGTCAAAATATGGTTTAGTAAGTAATCATATATAAAAAATTATAATATACACAAATGTGATTGACTTTTAAAATATATTTACAATTTAAGTTACCCAGTCGTTTAAATTTGAAAGTTCTAGATAAATATCAATATATGTATGGACTATTTCGAATCCCTAGGAATTAACATATAGAATTACAAAGCTTTGCAAATTGACAATGAAAAACTCTACATTTATCCATAAGAAGTTTTTTATAAGATAACAAGAACAAAAATGATGACATTTAGGTTTTTCTTAAGTTAATGAATTATATTTTAAAATGACTAGTTTATTTTTTATTATAAAAAATGAAGGTAAAAAGATTGTAAAATATTTTTGGTATATTTCTTAATAATAATAAAAAACGCAAAATAAATAATCAGACCTCATTCTCAATTCCATTGTTTAGCATCAAGTCAAAGGCAAATTAAAAAGGGAACCTCTCAACACCCAATTATTTCAATGATTTATTTAATTGTTAATATAAGTACTTTGTGCAATATGGTTAAAAATTTTTTCGAACAATTTTTTGCCCTGCCTAATGAAAATTTCTGAATTCGCCGATGTCCTAGCATACTAAAAGAAGTAAAAAACAAACAAATCTCGAGATTTCGAATGAACTAAACAAGACAACCCCAAAGAGAAGGAACAAAAAAAAAAAAAAAAACTTTAGTTCCCTGCTATGAACATAGACCAGCAAGTTGAGAATTCCCTCCCCAAGACCATAGCAAGATTCTAGATGTACGAATCAATGATTTCGTCCCGCGTCGCGTTCTCATCCGGAGCCTCCATGACCACCAGCCATGTTGGAAAAGTACGTTGAATTTTCCATGAAGTCCGATCTATGAAAGTGAAATAAAAAATAAAAATTGGACACACCAAATTGATAACGGAGTTCGACCAATAATGCCTACGTATCCGGACTGCTGCAGATATTTTATTAAGAGAAAAAAAATACACTCGTGTTTACAAAACACTCCCAAACTCACTCACAACTCACAACTCAAAATATACACAGAGGCTAGTTTTACTCCCTCTCTTTTTCTCTCTTTCTTTTTGTGTTTAGGTTGTATTTTGGTTTGTGTCTTTCATCGGAATTTGCTATCCTATTTATAGGAAAGGATGCAGCACAATTTCAACATATGTGTACTCAAGCTTTTCAACAAAAGACAGCAGCCCGGTTGGTGCAATATTTCAAGATTTTGGGGCTGCCAAATTGTCAATTTGGTTGCTGAGTAACAATCTCCCACTTGAGAACTGATTTCAATCTGTCCTCACACCTCAATTACTGCAGTAGTCTTCTTCGGTCTGTTACTCTAGCAGGCCAATTGAAGTTGAGCACAACTTCAGTTTGTCAATGTCACCACCTTTGTTAGCATATTTGTTGGGTTCTTGCTTTCTACAATCTTGTTCAAAGTTAACACTTCATCCTCAAGCAGAGATCAGGTGAAATGATATCGTATGTCAATATGCTTAGTTCTGGAGTGAAACGCTGAGTTCTTTGCCAGATGTATTGCACTCTGACTATCACTGTGCAAGACACTCTCTTTTTGAGTGAAACTCAACTCTGCTAACCATCCTTGAAGCCATATCAATTCTTTACTGGCTTCTGTCACTGCTACATACTCAGCCTCTGTAGTGGATAGAGCAACAATTTTTTGTATCCGCGACATTACTGTGGACGCACCACCACCGGCGCCTCTGCCCTCTGTGGACGTCAATGTTATGGCTCGATTTAGAACCGTCGTCGGCTTTCGTGTAGAGCCCTTGACGTTCGTGAAGAAATCGAGTCGACATTGAGCGGGGTTTTGGGTAGAGATGTTAAATGGGCTAGTCCTAGCGGTTTCGGGCTAGCCCTAGCGGGCTTAGGGTTAAACGGTCCGGGCCTAAAAAGCTCGAATTTAAACGGGCTATCAAAAAAGGGACCTAATCCTAACCCTAGCGGGCTTCGGGCTAAACGGGCTATGCGTGCTATAATATTAATAATAATAATACTTATAAAATATATAAAAAAACAAAAATCAAAAGAGTAAAAAATATATTTAAGAAATAAAAACAGCTAGTTAAAAATTATTTTTAACGACTATTTAGTATTTACCGTCTTTCACTATGTTTCATTGTTTCCTATTAGTCGTTCTGATTAACTTAAATATCTTGGTATGAAGTACAATAACAATATTGTTAATAATTATCTTTCAAAATCATAATAATTCATTACAACTCATACTTACATGTGAAGTGGAATACCAAAATAGTAATATACAAGTAATTTAAGAGCATATTACTTACTTGATGCAAACATTTACACCGTTCAATCCTAGTTAAACGGGCCAGCCCTGGCGGGTTTCAGGCTAGCCCTAGCGGGCTTCGGGCTAAACGGTCTGGGCCTAAAAAGCCCTGATTTAAATGGGTTACTAATAAAAGGACCTAACCCTGTTTTTTCCGGGCTAAACGGGCGGGCCAGTCGGGCCAAGGACCATTTAACATCTCTAGTTTTGGGTTTGGGTGTTGTTCCCCACCGGAGTAACAATGGAGATGGCGCCTGGATCTAGTTCTTTCAGCAGCCCGACAGGATGGGGTACAACGCTTGAATTTTAGGGAAAAGTACCGAAAGGAGGGTGTGGAGGTTTTGAAGAATATGACTAACTACCTGATGGTGATGGTCTCTGGATATGAAGGTTCAGCAAAGGAATCAGATCGTGGTGGTTAGCGTCTGAGTTCTCGATGAAAGGTTTGTGCTTATCAATTCTTGGTTTTTGTTTTTTTTTTTTTTTAGATTTCTTTTTCAATTTTGGATAGAATTAGATTATGTTGTGGTTTGAGGGTCGTAATTAATCGAGTATTACTGAACCTCGTCGAGATTTATGAATAGTTTTTGGGTTTAGATTGATTGTCGATTTTAATCAATTGCAAATGGGTTGTAGTTAGTCGAGCCTGAACTGAGTATTATTTAATTGTTGGATCGATGTTTTTGGGTGAATTTAGCATCTTGATCAATTATATGTTGTGGCCTTTTGGTTTATGAATTAATCGAGTATTATTTAACTTCGTCAAGCTTCGGGAATAATAATTGGGTTTGGTTCGATTTTGGTTCGGATTGATTCCGACTGAGTTTTAGTTGAATCGAGTGTGAAATGAGCTATGGGCATCTTGATTGATGTTTTTGGGTTAATTTAGTATATTTTCCTTTATTAATCAAGTCGAGCTCGAAACCAAGCATTTCGTTCTTTTTTTTTTCTCAAACGATAGATATCTCATAAAAAGAAAAGGATACAAAGTTTTAGAGAAACAGTACATACAGCTGCACAAACAGGACAAACAGCAACAGAACACAAAGCCGGGAGATGAGAGGATCACTCAAAGGTGTCCTAGAACCCAACTAATCAAACTTGAAGTTAGGCAGTCTCACGACTGGGTCCCAACCTCAAATCAGCACAAGAGAAAATAAACTAAAAGAAGAAACGACACCAATAAAAAGATACAACAGCAGCAAACCAAACAACTCTAAATCTACGACCTGAACCCTCTACTAGCCCTGAAAGATAGCCAATCCTGTTGAGCTGCTTGGAACGTGAGGTGTGCAGGCCGTTTTACTTTCTCAAACATCCATAAATTGCGAGATTTCCAGAGCCACCAGAGGATGTATGTCGATAACTGAATCCTTGCCTCTGATACCTCTGACTTGTCTAGTTGGCAAATAGACCACCACCAGTCCTTGAAGGATTCTCCATCTTGGGGTCCATTCCATTGCACAGGTGAGAGCTTCCAAACCAGCTTTGCAGAATCACAATGGAATAAAATGTGCTCCACTGTTTCTAGACCATCTCCACAGATTGAACAAATACTGTCTACCTCTATCCCTCTGCTTTGCAAATTATGACTAACAGGCAAGGTGCCATTACAGCATTTCCAGATAAAGTGTTTAATCTTACCCATAACTTGGAGTTTCCAACTTCTGCTTCTGACTTTGATATCTCTGGCCAAGTCTTTGCTCCCCTGAGGCTGCCCAATTTTGAGGTACTTTTCAGCAATGAGTTGAGCATAAGTGGACTGTACTGAAAATAAACCCTTGCTATGCAACTTCCACTTCCAAGTGTCTTCTTGGTGTGGGTTAAGAGAGTTGATGGTGAGAATCTGATCACAGATATGTGGGGGAAAAGTTCTTCTCAATTTTTGTTCATCCCAGCTCCAACCATCTTCAGTCATGAGATCTCTAACCCATGTACAACTTCTGTCAATGCCAGGCAGCAGATCCACTGTTTGGCCTATGTGGTTTGGCAACCAATGCTGATCCCATATTTTTGTGGAGTTGCCATTCCTAATTTCCACCTGCATCCATTTAGCACATACTTGCAAGACTGCATGCCAGCTCCTCCATAGCCAGGAGGAGTTTGATTGAATAGATGCATCAAACAGAGAAGAGTTAGGATAATATTTAGATTTGAGGACTCTGCTCACCAAGGAGTTAGGCACAGTAAGAAGTCTCCAAAGCTGTTTGGATATAAGAGCAGTGTTGAAAAGTTGGATGTCCTGGAACCCCAGACCTCCAAACTTTTTAGCCAAAGTTAATTTATTCCAGGCCACCCAAGGGAACCCTTTAGAAGGGTCAGAGTGTTTACTCCACCAAAAATTGCTACAAATACTGGAAATTTCTTTGCACAAGGTGGTAGGCAGAACAAAGCAGGACATAGCATAAACAGGAAGTGCATTAAGAACAGCTTTGATGAGGATTTCCTTACCTGCTGTGGACAACCATTTGTTCTTCCAGCTGCAGATTCTTTTCTTAACCACAGAGAGAATATAGTCAAAAGCTTCTCTCTTTGATCTCCCAATGCCCATTGGCAAACCTAAATATCTAGTAGATGAGTGAATTTGGATGCCAGATAAAATAGAGCAACACTTATCTTTAATGCTGGCTGGTGTATTTTTGCTGAAGAAGACTGATGATTTAGCCATGTTCACTTGTTGCCCTGTGAAAGTATGGTATGCTTGGAGGATGTTCAAAATTTTGGTGGCCTGAAGATCATCAGCTTTACAAAAGAGCAGAGTGTCATCTGCAAACAATAAGTGGGTCAGTGTTGGGCCATTTCTGACTAATCTAATACCTCTGTAACTTCCATTATCTGCTGCCCATTGGATTTTAGCAGACAACAATTCTGATATAATGATGAAGAGGTAGGGGGATAAGGGATCCCCCTGCCTAATACCTCTGCTGGCAGTAATGAAACCACAAGGCCTTCCATTTAAATTAATAGAGAAAGTAGGAAATTGAATACAGGCCATGATCCACCTCACAAACTTGGCACAGAATCCCATTCTTAGCATGGTTAATTGGATAGGCTTCCATTCAAGGCTATCAAAAGCCTTCATCATGTCAAGCTTCAGAGCCATAAAACAATTATTCCCTGATCTGTGCCTATTCAAAAAGTGAAAAACTTCATGCCCTATCACAACATTGTCCAGAATCTGCCTTCCAGGGAGAAAGGCAGCTTGGTTCTCAGAAATACAATCATTGAGGCAAAGTCTTAGTCTAGAAGCCAAGATCTTGGAAATGACTTTATAGAAAACTGCACATAAACTTATTGGTCTATACTGACTGATAGATATCGGATTAAAACATTTTGGTATGAGAGTGATTAAAGTATGCTTCCAGTACTTCAATAACATACAGGATTCAAAAAAGCTTTTAACATCAAAAATGATGTCTTTACCAATGATGGGCCAGAAGTGCTGATAGAAGAGTCCAGTCATGCCATCTTCACCTGGTGCTTTGTCAGGATGGATACTAAAAACTGCTTCTTTGATCTCATCCTCTTCCACGGTTGCTGTTAGGATGGCATTTACCTCATCAGTGACTGACTGTTTGATTAAGGGAAGAAATTCATGCCCCCCTTTGGAACCCTGGGATGTGAAGAGCTTGGTGTAATAATCTGTGATAGCTGCTTCAATCTCCTCTGCATTGTTACTGATTGTATGCCTTTCAGTCACCAGTCTGACTATAGAGTTCATCTTCCTTCTTTGAGAGACAAACGCATGGAAGAATTTGGTGTTTTGGTCTCCTTCTTTGAACCAAAGAGCTCTAGCTTTTTGCCTCCAGTATATCTCTTCAGAAACATTTGCTTCATTTAACTCTTTTTTGATTTTATCCCAGGTGTCCCAATCTCTGTCACCTCCAGCTTTCCTGAGTTCCTCCAACTGCAGAGTTAGATTGCTGATTTTCGAGACCTGCTCTGCTCTGAAATACTTACTCCAGCTCAGGAGTGCTTGTCTGGTTCTTTTTATCTTTTCTTTGATGATGTACATAGGAGTACCCCATGCAGGAGTGTCCCAAGCTTGCTCAACCACATCATTAACTTCTTCTTTTCTGATCCATCGTTTATCAAACTGAAATCTTTTCCTGAATTTGCCAGGTGCTTCAGAGAAGGAAATGACCAGCATAGTGTGATCAGAAGCACTTCTGAACCAGCTGGTTACCTTAGTTTCAGGGAATGTAGCAAGCCAATCCAGGGAGACAAACAGTCGGTCTAGAGTTTCCTCTATGTAGTGCAGCCCTGCTCTGTTATTGGTCCAGGTATAAGGCAATCCCTGGAGAGGAATTTCTTGAACACCCATCTGAGCTAGAAATTGGTTGAAATCCCAGAAGTTCCTGTCTGATTTACTTTGGCCCCCTTTCTTATCTGCAGCTCTGCAAATTGCATTCCAATCTCCGGCTATACACCAGGTTGACCCCCATTTGGTTTTTTCATTCACCAGAAAGTCCCATTGCAGGGTTCTCTCAGCTTTAGAGGAACTGAGATAAACAAAAACAGCCCAGCAAGAACAATCTTTAGATTTATCAATAAAGTTGACAGCAATAAAGAAACTCTGACTATAAATATTAACAACAGCCACATCATCATCCCAAAGAAGCATGAGCCCACCCCCAGTACCACAAGGCTCAACAATATGATGTCTGGTAGCAAAACCCAATCTAATACATAAGGAAGAAGCAAATTTTTTATTTTTCTTAATTTCAGAGAGGAACAAAAAAGATGGGTGATGGATCCTTAAGGATTCCTTGATCTGGGGAATTGTAGAGGGCCCACCCAGACCTCTACAGTTCCACACCAGAGCATTCATGGTGACTCTGAGGGCTTCTTTAGGCAAGCCCTCTCCACCTTAGTTAAACTTAGCTTAGCTTTCTTGTCTGGAATTTCTGAGATTTCTTTAATCTGCTGAGTGTCAAAACAAAGGAGGTTGATTTCCCTTGGCCTTTTGTGCATCAGGGTATTTAAGCTCATGAGGCTATTATTAGAATTCCTGAGGAGCCTTCCTTCCTTCTGTGTTGTTCTTTTCCATGTGGCTCTGCTCACCCCTGCCCCCTTCTTACTTTTCCCTTTGGCTTTAGCAGCATCTCTGTGAGGGGGAGTATCCTCATCTGAGATATTGATTGCCATGATCTCCATGTCTGCTTGAGAGGATGAAACTCCAGTTTGGATTGGGCTAGGTTGAGGATTGTATAGGGCCAGCCCTTTCTCTGAAGATTTAGAGGGAAGATGGCTTTCATTTGTACTGGTAACTTGGTTCCCATTTGGTTCATTCTGGCTGTGGCTTGTAGCTTTAGCAGAACCATCATTAGTCATGACCTCCTCATTGTGATTTGATATGGGGTTATTAGTGTTGGTAGGGATAAGGATGGTTCCTTTGCTTGCCCAGATGAAGAATTTCCTTGATTCCAGTTTTGGCTCTGCAACCCTTCAGTGGCTCGTAGCCACTCACCAAATTGACCTTCATGGAGCATCTTGTTCTTGATATATTCCATTCTTAGCTTACAGGATTTCTCAATGTGTCCGATCATGCCACAGTAGAAGCAGAGATTGACTAGCCGTTCATATTTGAATGTAACGGTGACTATCTGAGAGCCCAGCCTAATGGAGGTGCATCTGGGTAGCGGCTCATTAAGATCAACAGTAACTAGCAATTTGATGAGTCGGCCTCCTTGATAGGCCAGATTGGTAACCACTACATTGGATACATCCTTGAATATCTGGCCGATTTTGAGCCCTACCTCGGCCGTCATCCAGTTAAGGGGCACATTGTGGACTTGCACCCAGAGATTTAGCTCAGAGAAACATTTAGCAGAGCTGTTCATACCTGGTTCCCATCGTCTGAGAATAAGAAACTGATTTTCAAAGATCCAGTTCGTGCCTCCTTCAACTTTCTGGAGATCGTCAACATTGGCGAAGATGAATTGAAAGAAATTCGCTCCCAGCTCTCTAACTTCCAAGGAACTTTTCAGACGCCAAATCTGAGTCATGGCTTTTTTGATACCTGCCAGACTAGCCCTTTTATCACCCGCGATGCGACCGAATAGACTATGGTGACATTCTTCTACCCCCGATCTGACATCGGCATCCCCAAGATCGATGATTTTGTTTTCCACTTTGGAGAGAGAAAAAACCCTAAGTCGCTGTTCTACTTCATCAGCAGTCGATTGGAAATTTTGGTCCGCCATAGGATCGATTAAAAGGCAAAAGGAGAAAGAAGCCTCTCCGGCGAGAGGAAGGAAGCTTTCCGGCGAAAGAAGGTGCTCTCCGACGAGAGAAGCGGCTCCCCTAGAGACGTGTGTGGTTAGGAGTCAAAAGTTAGATGTTTTCATTTTGGGAATTTGTTGAGCTACGGTTGACCATCCATTTATTGCTCTCAATTTTGATCTGGTAAACTGAACTCATTTTCGACCTAACATCTTAGGTATGTTCTATTGTCTAGGAATTTGTTTCAGTTTTTTTTTTTTTTATTTATTTTGTGTAAACATCACTAACATAGTTCTTATTTGATGTGTTGTAAGTTCGATGAATATGATTGTGAAATGTTATTTAGTTCCGATTAATCATACTAAATTGGTTAACTTGAATAATATTATATTTAAACTATTTACTTTGAAGCCCAACAACTAAACATCAATCAACTACCTTTTACTTGTTCTGCTCCATTCAAACTAGGCTCGGTTCTGCAGGTAAGAATACATTGCATTTTATTACATTTGATTCTTAAATCCTAGCTTTGTTTCAGCATCGTTGCAGGAACTTTTGGGATATTTTTGTTTCCAACTATGTAGCATCTTGGCTTTTTTTTTTTTTAGAATTCAATGTGATGATAATTATGGTCCTAGTCTTTTATCATTTGTTCAGTGAACCATACGATTACGATTGTGGGTCGAAGTTTGTATTTGAATATGGATTTTCACGAAATGTCTTTCAATCTCTTTGTACTATGTCACCAAAAATTATAGTGACAAACTTAAAGGATAATGTATTGAAAATTTCAAACAACACAATTTCGTGTCACAATAATCTATAATAATGACACTATAAAAAAACGTCATGCATTGGAATTTACCGGCGCTAAATTTTATCTCACAACTCACAATAATAATGATGCTCTAAAAAAAGAGTCACTAATTGAAAATTACATACATTAACATATTATGTCACTATATTATATACTAACGATGCACTTTTAAAAAAGTATCGCCTATTAAAGATTATCTACGCGTCTATGTTGCGTCACAAATAAATTCGTGACATCAAATTTAGCAACGCAACTGGTGACACTTTTGCTAGTGTAGGTAAATTTATTTGTAACACTAATAAATGTTACTAAATAAAAAAATAAGTGTCCCTAAATGCAGTTTTTGTTGTAGTGAACATTGGTACCAGATTTAGAGTAAGATAAGACCACAAATATAGTGTTTTAGTACCAGATAGACATGGCCAAAAATCGGGCCGGGTCACCGGGTTGGTGTTTAGTATAAATTTGATGGGCATGTGGTAACCGAGCTACCCGACTCGGGTCGATCTCGAGGGAAGGCTATTCGGAGCTTTACTCACCATTCAATCGCTCAAATCACAAAAATGGAAAATAAAGTCCTAAACATACTAATCAATTTGGATTGAGGTTGATTAACGCTAATTACGACTATTGAAAGCAAGTAAACGAGCAACGAGCTAGTGAACGAACCACGAGATCCTAGCAACTAACCCGGTGAGCAAAATCAAGAGCAACAAAAGCGAAAGTAAGAGAAACGAACTCCATTTAGCATACTTAAGAGCCAAAACCGAAATCCTACTACGAAATAACCGAGCTAAATGTAAAGTCACGATTTTTCAAATAGCAATCAATCAATCAATCAACTCCAAGCATCATAAACGAGCTCACAAAAGCAAGGGAAATAAAAATAGCTAAAGTAACTACTAAAAATCCGATAACCGAACAAGCCCTAATTACTTCTACGCACGAGATAGCAAGTAAGTACGAAAATCGAGATTATAAGGTTTAAAAGTAAATACTCACATCCCTAACGCATGCTCGATCGATAACGGAAGAAAAAGATTAAAACTTGCATAAACGAGAAGTCACCGGAAAAAGTCGCCGGAAAATGTATATAACATCCACCTTACTCTAGAGAGAAAAATAAAAGACTTAAGCTAAGAACCGAAAAGGGAAATATTTCATAATGAGCTAGATGTCCATAATACAAAGGACCAAAATTTATTTATACTAGAAGGTAAACACACACTAAAAATGCACTATTAAAAGGAACACTCGCGAGTTAAGTCGAACTCGCGAGTTAAAACACGAAATTCGCGGGCGCGAGAGGAAAAATTAAAGATGCATGTCATCATGGGAACTCACGAGTTAGGCTGCGCTCGCGGGCTAGGGGAGGAGATTCGCGCCCGCGAGTCTTGGAGACTGCTGGGGGCTGCTTGCTCGCGAGTTGCTGTGGCTCGCGGAATCCTCTTCGCGCTCGCGGACGTTGGCTGCTGTTGGGGCGCGCTTCCTCGCGAGTTGAAGGTAAGCCGCGAACGGAACCTCACGCCCGCGGATCCGGAAGGCTGCAGAAGGTGGCTTGCTCGCGAGTTTGCGTCGCTCGCGAAACTGAGCTCGCAGGCGCGAGTTTCAGCTGCTGAAGGTGCATGCTTGCTCGCGAGTTTGAAGGGCTCGCGAACTCGAACTCGCGAGCGCCAACTCTAAGGGCTGCAAGTAATGGTCCCGCTAAGCTTTCGGTTTGACTTCTAAAGCTTCATTTCATCGCACTGTTCCCCGATCAACTTGAAAATTTGACTCTATACATCGACACTCCAATTTCAACAACGAACTTCACGGCTAAGCACTCGGGACGACATATCATGAAACGAAAATTCTTTCCTTCCGTTCCTACAAAACACCAAATCGCGCACAAGAAATAGAGAAATATACGAAAATGACTCAAAAACGAAAAGCTACTAAAAACGAACACAAAATGGACCGGGACGCACAAACAGAACCTAAAAACACTCGATTCAAGCAAATAAAAACACAATAAAACACATAAAAAATATAACAAACAACTCCCCCACACTTAGCTTTTTGCTTGTCCTCAAGCAAACAAAATAATAAGTAGTACGAGAAGAAATATCAAGTGGTTCAAAGTTAACAATCATGCAAAAATGAGACTCTCCTTATCATCCGGTAATCATAGAGTCAAACTCAAATTCGAAAACATGTTCCCCACAAATGAATTCATACAAAACAAAAATCCGTCTCAAGTCATCCTACACATGATTTTCTCGATTCGCGCTCCCTATCGAAACATAAACGTGCAAAAAGCCAAATGAGGTTTACTCGACATATTAAGAAAATAAGAACAAAACCCATAAAGTCGACTCCCTTTTTCTTTGTTCTTTTTCCTTTTTTTTTTATTTTTTTTTTTTTATTTTTTTTTTATTTTTATTTTTTTTAAATGAGTTTCTTTTTTCCGAATGAGAGCCATTAGGACGGTTATTACTTAGGTTTATCCTCGGGGTTTGTCCCTGAGTTTCCTAAGTCGGTTTCCCATACTCATTGGTTCGATTTGCCTAGAAGACCAACCGAACCAAGTGGAGTCTAATCCTTCCAACTCTCACGAGCTCATTTTGTGAGTTGCTTTTTCCAAACGAGGTTTCCGGACAATGATTATCTAGGTTTAACCTCGAGGGGTTTCCCCG